GTTCTCAACTCCTGCTAAACCCACAAGGGATCCGCATGTCAATGTTCCTGGCTCACCTTCTCATCGAATTCCTGCTCCATAGCGCGCATGATCTGGCCGATCTGAGTGGCCATGATGTAGCCCTGCTTTCCGCGGTCGAAGTCATCGAAGAATTTCTGGTATTCTGAAAATATTCCACATAGTTCCAAGACTCGCTAAGTACATCGATGCTTCAAGCCCACATCATGAACGAACCTTCGATCTGCTCGCCGTCAATTTCGGCCAAGATCTCTTCGATATCTTCAGCCTGAATACACAAGCCATTAGATTGTTTTCCATGGATTCATCGACGGCGCATATCATTAAAAGGATTGGTTACCGACATCTTCCTTTGGGCCCACTGGGATTCGTTTGATCAAAAACCAAGGAAATATGGAGCATATGAACTTATGGAATCCACCTCCTCGATCATAGTGAGTCGCTCTTTTTTATAATAGGAGGGGTAGCATTGAGGTTGCGGCAAACGGCGTCACTTAACAACGCAAGTAGACCACGGGTCAAATTTGGGATGATCGCACCCAGGTCATTCACCCTTCTTTTACTTTGAATCTAACGGTACCAGGCTCTTCTGAATCAATAAAATTGTAGACTTTCACATCGCTGGCGCACGTTAATCTCTACGCAGCTACAATCGCTTTTACTATGCACTAGGATTCAATGATCTTTGAAGGCATGGGATTGAGGAATTAGAAGAGGAAAATATGTCACTACAACCTTGAAGTTCGAAGTTTCCATGCGTGTCGCATCGGTGCAGACAAAAAGAGGCTCATTAACACATAACTCTTCATTCTTCCCCTTCAGAATCACTCTACCTAAGGGTTGAACTTCGTATTCAATAGTTGTGGAAGATCTTGAGCGCGAAGTTCTCAAAAATTACAGTACTACCCTTACTACCGAACTCAACGAACAAAACCCAAACTCAGTGAAGAACACCCAAACTGCCCGTACTCACTCAAATAATATCAATGCGATATTGATTCCCCGGCTTGGCCAATGATTAGTTTGAAGACACAGGGCTTCCTACCCGTTATTACAACGAGAATCGCCAGTCGAGGCGAACCGAGCCATATGTATTACACTTGCGAAGCTGTCTTAAAGGATTTTCAGAACATTCTGGAAATTCTCCTCATGTTGCTTGCAATCATCTGAGGTTAGCAAGGACGCGTAATAGTTCTGGGGACGCAATCGCAACATACGGGGTATCCCTATAGAACTAGTAAGTTCGGAGTTTCAGGGTTCCCGGGCGAAAATTAATTTTGCTCATGCACCCCATAGCACTTCCCTTCTGAGCCTCAGTTCACAACATTAGCATTACCTCAGCAGGAACGACAACTAGCCACTAAAAATGGCATACCCAACATCTGTTTCTTTATTTATTTCCTCCACAAGACTTACCAAATTCTAGTACTACACAGATTGTGGTTCTCAATTTGCACGTAGCCCTTCAGTTGAAAGAAGCTTTTTAACAGCCTTCGCCAGCTGAGTGTTGACTGGACTTTGGCGTTGACCGTGGAGCAGCTTATTTACTATTGAAATTTGAACAAATATTCAAATGATTATAACTTTCTTCAAAGTTAACGAATTTTCAATCTGAAAGCTGATTTGGGAGTTTTGTGAAGAGCTTTTTCTAATCAGTACTGAAATTACAGGAAGTTATAAGAAATAACAAATTTAGATCAAATAACGAGGAAAATTCGAGACGAGCACGAGTTTTTACACTTTCCGGAGCAATAACTTGCTTCATTTCCGTCAAATTCAAAAAGTTGATACGTCATACAAAACTAGAAGATTTTCTCTATCAAACCGTCGCTAAAGCAGCTTCATACGTCCAGTATTCAAAAATGGCCACGTTGAGGATTTCTGCAAAATTAACGAGGAAAATTTGTGATGAGTGCGAGTTTTTTTACTTCCTAAAGCCATAACTCCGTTCAAACTCATCCAATCCGAAAAGTAAATACGCCATCATAAACTAGAAGATTTGCTCTATCAAATCATTACTAGAACTGCTCCAAACGTCCAGTATTAAAAAAACGGCTACGTTGAGGATTTTCGCACGAGTAACTTGCCGAAAGGTACTTTTTCGCTACATTGGCACTATTTCAACGCTGGTTAAACTACCTTTTAAGGCGATATGTACTTAAAGTAAGAGCAGATTTGAAATCACTGCTTTTCTCTTTCTAAGAAAAGTGATTGATCAGTGTTTCTCAACTTTAAAGGTTACATGTTTATAAATTTAACCCTGAAGAGTCCGTTAACGCAGTGTTGAATGGTGTACACCTCCCTGTAAATGCGCACGGACACTTTCAGAATTCTCTCGATTGTTCCTGAATTGAGGTTGTTTGTCCAAGGAGCCGTAGTTGAAGTGCGCGCAACAACTAGACCCTTTCTCGGATGCGCCGTGTACCTCACATCCCTTCAGATTCGGGGTCTTACTTGAAAGATGAAATATCTCTTGGAAAGCGTGCGAAATTCAGATTCTTTATTTGTGTGGTGATAAAACACTGAAGTAACTAAGAATTACCGGACGCCTCAGATCACGAAAATTTTGTGTGGGTGAAATATCGTTTTCATTGGAAATCCTCTGGCCTGGCATCGACTCATCCTTGATATTTGTCTTCCGGCGGTGATGATCCCACTGCATCAAAATGGCTCGATCTCTTCCACCCAGCAGGCCAATACGACCCCCCCCCCCTGCGACGTGTCGAGGATTCCTCAACGCACGCTTGACCCCCGGGCCTGGATGAAA